GGCGGGGTGGGGCGGGGCCGTTCGGCAATTGGATCACCAGGCCGGTACATGCAGAGGCTTATCTGGGCGACATTTCATCGGGGAACGAGAAGCAAGAAGAAGAAGAGGGAGGAGGAGGAGGAGGAGAGGGAGAGGCGGCAGTCGCGGCCGCGCGCTGGCGTGCCCTATCTCTTAGCTGCAGCGAGAGCAGGGCGATTATAGAAAAGATGACCCCGCGCCCTGGCCGGCCGACGGCCAACACATTCCGGATCAGATTGAATGCTCGTCAACTCGGCAAAATTAGCGTGGTAACGTTGTAACAACACGCTCTCTGCGTCCAAACGACCGGCCGACGACGACGACGACGGCCACCCGGAAGACGCGCATCACATGGCTGCGCTGCACGCGCGGGGACGCCGCCGTCGAGTCCACGACCACCTCCACGCGCCCAGCACGCACGCGGTGCGCGGCAGCGCGACAGATACAACGACAAATTTGAGGCCATGGGTGTGGCGCTGGTGGGACCTTGAGTGGAAGGGCGTGTTCGAGGCAACAGGCCCGGGGCGGCCAGCAAACCGATTCCAAGAGTCGCTTTCGTCGCGCTGTCGCTCTCGCACTCGTGGGGCGTGCCGTGAGGGTGCGAGAGAGACAGAGCGACGACAACGACTCTCGGAATCGGTCTGCTGTCGTGATTGACAACCCCGTGCAGCCGTGCCGCCCCAGCGCCCCCGGCCATGGCCGCAGTGCAGTGTGCCGCAGTGTGCCACCGCGCCGGCCGGCTAAATGACCAGCTTGTCGAGTTGCACGGCTTCGCTGCCTCGCTGCTTCGCTACCCGAGCCGCCGCGCCTCGCCGGCTTTGTCGTCCACACTACAAGCCCGCCCAGTCTGAACGGCGCTCCGTCCCCCTCGCACCCCTGCGGCACGCCCCGCGAGAGCGAGAGAGACAGAGCGACGCTGCACCACATAGGTGCACCGCGCAGTAACGAGAAGGCCCCGACCGTGTCCGTTTGATTGGCGCTATCCCGGACCCACCCACCGCGCGCGCCGCCGCCGCCGCCACCCACAAGGCCGCCGACGAGCAGCCCGACCCGCCGCGAGGACGCCGTCGACGAGCCGTCGGCACCTGCGGCCCTACAAGAAGCGCCTGTCGCCCCAGCGTCGCGGCGTAATGACAGAGCGCGCCAAAATGGTGCAGCGAGTGCACCGGCAAGCTGTCCCTCTCGCTCTCGCGCGGCGACCCGTTGCGGTGCGAGAGAGACAGCGCGACGAACGCGCCTTCGCCATGCAGGCGGCACGGGGGCGGCCGGGGGCGGCGGTGCTCTGCAATTATGAGCCTGGTGGCAAAACACGTCGGGCGCGATGCGCGGCGAGGTTCCCCGCGCGGCATCGGGGTTGGCCGCGGTGGCCCCGCAGTGCGCTAGCTGCGCTCGCCTCGCAGTGCCGCGGCACGCCGGGGTTGAATGGCCTGCCGGCGGGGCTTGGCGGGGCGCTGCCAGACGCACACTGATTCCGCAGCGTCTCCGTCGCACTCACGCGGCGCCTCCAAGGGGCGCGAGAGAGAACGACTGTGGTACAGTCTATGTAATTAGAGGAGGCTCCAGCCGCCGCGGCTCGTCACAACGAGGCTAGCAGAGCGGGCCGCCAAGGCAGTGCCAGGGCGTCGGGCCTTCGAACAACAAAGGTTCGCGTCTTGGCGTCACGTCGGCGTTCCCGGCACGTTATTTGCGGTCGCCTCGTCGTCGCGGTGGTCCTTGTTTTTCGCGCCCGATAGGGAGCGGCCCGCAGATAAGGGCCTTTGTCGGCGCGTAGCATTTGCCCGGCAGGTAGGCCTCCCGCCAGTGGCGTGGCCGCGCCGCCGCGCCGCCGCGTAGGTCAGGGTCGCGACGACGGGGAGACGGGGAGCAGCTACAAGATAAAGAGCCAGCCAAACTTGACCACCGCGTCGACCAGAGCGCCACCGAGACGCGGCGCACGTCGCACAGTGGGCCAGAAGGCCGGCGCCGGCGGCCAAAACTCCAGACGCGTTTCGAGCCCCAGCGTCGCTAAATGGGACTCGAACAGAACGTGTGACCCCACCAATGGATTGCACTTCGAACGAGGAAACCATTGGTGGGGTCACACGTTCGATTCGAGTCCTGTTTAGCGCCTCTGAAGCTCAAAACGCGTCGTGAGTTTTGGCCGCCTCCACCGGTCTTCTGGCCCACTGTGCGTCGCAAGGCCTGCAGGCTGATTCCGAGAGTCGTTTTCGTCGCTGTCACTCTCGCACTTGTGGGGCGACCCGTATGGGTGCGAGAGAGACAGAGCGACGAAAACGACTCTCGGAATCAGTCGGCCGGCTCGGCGGGGCGCGCTGTCCATTCGCTGGAATCGTCCGCATGAGCCTCGGCGCCTCGCCTCGAAAAGAGCGTCTGCTGACTCAGACCTCCGACGGGATGAAAAGAAAGTCATTCCGAAGCTGATGCTGCCGCAGCATCGGCTGGCGCTGCTGGCGCTGCGGAGCGGATGGGTTGGGACGAGCTCCATGCGAGTGGCCATGCAGGCCAGCCGGCCAGACAGTGCAGGCCCCCTCCCCGCGCGCCCCGCGCATTCTGCGATGCATTCATTGCCCATGCAACTTGTCGTCGTCACGTCGTCCCTCACAAGTCGCCAACTTAGCGCACAGTATCAATTTGGCTGTCCGGCCGCGTTAATCGTTCCTCTCCGCCAAAATTGCTACATCAGTCACTCCCCCGTGGCACGCCGCCCGCTTCACTCAGGCAGACGGGACGACGACGTTGGCGGCTCGCTGTGCGTGCGAGTGGACTGCACCCGGAGATGGACTCGGCTTGGCCAGATTCCGAGAGTCGTCGCTCTGTCTCCCTCGCACTCACGGGGCGTCCCGTACAGGTGCGAGAGAGACAGAGCGACGACTCTCGGAATCAGTCCACGGGTAGACGCACTTGAGGGCTTTCGGTTTTCAATCCGCCGCGCCGAACTTCCTCCGCGACACCTTTTTGTACCTTTCCCGCGTCATTACGATCTGGCTGGCTGGGCCCACGGATGGATGCACCGGGCCCACTCCTCTGGGGCCTCGCTGCCTCGGTCTGGCAGGCCGGCCGGCCCGTCGGAAGCGCTCCAAATTACGCCACTAAACGGACGCAACGCCGTGCACTAGCACCGCGTAGGACGTAAGCCGTACTTTTTTTTGGCATGAATCCCCAGTCTCAGCGGACGGGACGGACAGACGGACAGCGTTCAAGACGGTCTAAATGGTACTTCCCCTACGATCTCTCTTTCCTGAACGGTTGTGTTAATTTGATTCTGCTTTTTTAGGAGGAGGGGGGCTGGCAGTTAAGAGGTCTTATGAATGCACTTTTTAACTGAATACTGTACTTCTTTCCTGAATTTCGAGTCTTGACACTGGCCGGCGCCCCGCCACTACCTTCCACATGCAGGCAAGCCGGTGCAGGCAGATGCAGGCAAATGCACGGCAGAGTACTACAGGTGCCTGAGCGAGCCTGCCCAGCCGCAGCCGGCCCGTCGCTGTGACTCCCGCTGGCCTTGGGCCCTGCACGGTGCGGCGGGGCGGGGCGGGGCGGGGCGGGGCGGGGTGTGGGGCTGGGGTCACAACTACTGACTAAGCTCAGTGACAACGGGGCGGACGGCATCCGCCGCACCAGGCCGAACACAGCCGACCCAAGTCCACTACACCGCCACGGTTGGCTAGTAACACAAGGACACACATTGTGGCCATGTGACATCAAACGGCAATGCCAAACTCTTCAAAGAGTTGAGGCCCGTTGAACAGGCGTGCAGTGTTAGAGAGGTGATTCAGACACGGCTTGGATTGAGTAAAGGCACTGCGTTTCCAGCTTGAGATAAAAAGATGAACGGATGACATAGCAAGTCTCATTCAAAACTGACGTTTGAACTACCTTTAAGGCAAGACTGGGCAAGACATATCGCCGTTGTACCAGCTATAATCAGTTATCGTAACAGTTACCCTGCAGGTTTAATATTCACATACTTCGACATAAACATGTAACTTAAGTACAAAAGGAATGAATGAAAGGAGGACCGCCTTGGGTTTGGGTAAAATTTCCATGAATTATGATAAGAACAGGCTTAAGGCATTATTTAAATGAAATAAACATCACATAGCATGCAGATAATGGCTCCAAGCAGTAAATAATTCAATAGAACCTTTCTTACAGTGAACAGTCTACTCGGATGGTAGGCATCTAACTCTTGCGCACCTGTTCTTGTGGATAAAGAGACACACTACAAACAATGAAACCAGAGAAAAGCAAGCACATGTCCATAGAACACGTCATTGGATCCTTAAAAGCACCATTCACTGCATCATGAATGAATGAACGAAGGCTCAGATGGTATGCATCAAACTCTAGCGCACCTGTTCTCATAGAAAATATAATGCACCACTGACAATGAAACCAGAGGAAACCAAGCACCTGTCCTTAGAACAGGTCATTGGATCCTTCAAAGCACTATTCACTATTTCATGAATGAATGAAAGAATGAATGAATTTTGAGACGATTGAAACAACCCCATTGAAGAACACCCCTGAAGAAATGAGTCAGTTCAGCCAAAAGCTGGACCTAAGACCTCTCATTTCTTTGAAAAAGAGGCAAATTCTTCCAGTTCTCCACTAGGCACAGCCCTGCATATGGGCCCTAAAGTGTCAAATTTTCTGCAAATTCGCCCTCTTTGCTCTGAGGCAAGTGCGGCTAGTGCCCCCCGCAACCTCTCTGCACCGGCACTGTCTGCGATCTGCGAGCACCTCGTATGTAAACACTCTGCACATTATCGATTAGCGCCAGATTTTCCAGCCAGGCCGGCACGCGCCTCCAGGGGCCTGGCCGCCGGGGCCGCGCTTCGGCGCTCCGGGAACGGCCGCGTTTTTCGAGCCGACCGCGGCCAAATACGGCAGCGTAAATGTTGAACTGTCAGAGCAAGATTGGCAGCCGATGGTCTGCACTCGCACCCTGCAGCGCCAGAGCCGCTCCGGATCACACTTACCTTCAGAAAGTTCTAATTCCAACTCAGCCAATTTGTCCCGCACTTCCTCGGGGAGCTTGGAGAGGTCCACGTTTATCTCCGCCATCGTGGGGGCGCACTAAATCACTAATAGATCACACAATCACAACATTTCACACGAAAAACAACACATATATTTTGGCCATCTTGGGATTAATGCACCGCACTGCCTTCTTCATAACAACCGACTGGCTGCTCGCTGACGCAAAAACCTTAGCAGGCGTAGTGGCGCTCGGGAGCGCTCGGGCTTGGCTCGGGCTTGGCTCGGGTTTGTTCGGAGCGACGTTCGGGTGTTCGTTCGGAAGACTTCGGCGGTCTTCCCCAAGAACCGTCTCTTTTCAAATCACAGTGCTGTGATCGTTTTCACATTTTTAGTTTGTTTGGCGGCTTGAGAGAGCAAATTATTTTTTATTTCCATACCAACTGAATGAACTCTTCATAAATCCAATGATTTGAATATGTTGCCTGAGGCCTCTATGTTGGCTATCTTTAGCCGCGACCGGGAACCTTTCAAACGTGGTCAAATAGTCATATAGTGAACTTCTGAGGAACAAGACCACCGACTTGTAAGCGTTTCAGGTTCCATTATAGGGTATTATGAGAGGAGTGTTAAAGCCATAAAAGAAATTCTTTGTATTTTACTCATAGTATATTTATTGCCCTCTTTCAAAATTATGTTAAAATACACATTTAGGTGATGGTGTAGATTTTTGAGTGCCATTATGTCTATGCTTTTTATTTCTTCTTAAATAAAGGGGTATACAGATCATAACATTTTTCTGTTAAAAGAGTTTTTGATGTAACAACAACAACAAATCTGACAGCAAAACATTTTAATTAATATTATTTCAGTATGCAAATATTGTGTTGACTCAGAAAAACTTTGAAGTCTACAAAACTCAACGTGTACCTACAACTTTAACAACACAGTTCAGCCTTCAGGAATAATGGATAAAAGCTCAGAGCCACTTTCATTCAAAATGGCAAGACCAGCATCATTAAAACAGAAAATACATTACACAACATTGTTTGGAAATCCTGCCAGGCAGGTGTTTGGTCTTCAGGGACATCTACAACACACTTAGCACTAGATATTTATGATCACAGACCAAACTAGTATGAAGAGAGGCAAAACAGGCATCATAGTTACAGGCACATGTGCAGACAACCAATCTAGATTTTAGAAACCATAATTGTGCCTACATCACAAGTCATCTTCCAATATTCTTTCTACAAGTTTTTAAAACAAGTAAGCGAGAACTTTGCCTGACAGTCATTTCTTTGTTCCTGATAATTGTGAAACAACTAATTCAATTCAATTTCAAGCATTACCAGCGGGAGTAAATGAAACAGTTGCATGAGTGGTAACTTAAAATCACTTGAATAATCATAACATTACGAGAACAGCTCCTGACATCCGGCACATTACACAGCATGAGGACTACCATCATGACTAAGCCACAAATAATAACCCTCACAAGACAAATCACCTCTAATCCAACAAGTACCAGTACTGAATGTTCTGTGCATGCTACATGTTGCATGTTATCTACTGTTCACAGTTTGATTTTGTAAAATCGAAGATCCTTTCTGAGCAGTGTTACAGCTTGGAAACCAGTTCACTCCAAAAGGGATAAAATGAGGAAGTATTCCCAGTCCATTCATGATTTATTGATTTAGTTAGTTGGAATTTTCAGCATTATTTAAGCACAGGTAAATTCATCACTTTCTTCGGCCAAGTTCCTTCTCTGATTTAGCATTCTCCTTGAGAACCTTGGTTTTAAGATGTTCCTTGTAATCAAGAATGCCACCCTCCCACTTGGTTACAGTACCCTTTTCACAAATCCAGATCTCTTCAGCAACCTAAAAACAAACATCCATGAAAGAGACAGAACCAAGTCAAAAGAAACAAATATGTAAGCCAACATCAATAATATTTGTTGTGGCTTGTTAAAAATGGTTAATTTCATTAGGTCATACCTGATTGATAAGTCTGAAGTCGTGACTAACAAGAACCAAACCGCCTTCAAAATCATTAACAGCGTCAGCCAATGCATCAATTGTTTCCATGTCCAAGTGATTGGTAGGTTCGTCAAGCAGAAGAAGGTGGGGCGCTTGCCATGCCAAGTAGGCAAACACAACTCGACATCTCTGTCCATCGGAAAGTTGCCTGATCGGACAAACCTAAACCAAGAAGAAGGGATGCACCTTTAATACAGCTTTATCACAAAATCATTTCAGGTCAAGGATTTACAATTCTTCATTAATTAAGAGAAAGAATAAAGATTCTAAATATATTACCTGCTGACGACCAGTCAAACCATAGCGGCCAATGATTTTCCTCATTTCCTCACGTTCCTTAACCTCGGGGAAAGACTTCATCATGTACTCCAATGGAGACAGATCTAAGTCAAGAAGTTCATGCAAATGCTGATGATAGCGAGCTATACGCAAGTGCGAATTCTTCCTAATCATACCTTCAGTGGGTATCAGCTGAAAAAATGTTATAAAAGACATGTTACAACAGTTCCTGTGCAATGATCAATCCATATCAAGAATCATTCTTACTTACATCACCATACAACAACTTAAGCAGAGTACTCTTTCCAGCACCATTGGGACCCACAAGAGCCAGCCTAGTATCCAAGTCTATTCCAAACTCAAGATTTTTGTAAATATAACTTGTGGTGTCATTGTATCTGAAGCTCACATTCTGCACCATAATAACTGGAGGTGGTATGGTGCCACAAGAGGGGAAGTAGAAATTGAGTATTTTATCGTTTGTAACTTTCTCAGTTAGGCCAGAAGCAACCATTTTGGCAAGCGTCTTCTCTTTACTCTGAGCTTGTCTGGCAAGTTTAGCACTGCCGTGACCAAAGCGAGCTATGTAGTTCTAAAAAAATAATCAGATAGAATTAGAATCTTCATCTTAAAAGGCAAAACACATTATGAACCACTCATGTTGATATCAGTAACTGTTTAGTACCTTCATGTGCGCAATTTGGTCTTGTTCCCAGTTGTACTGCTTCATCTGATTCTCTAACAACTCCATGCGGGTTCGCACAAATGATTCATAATTACCCTGAAAATAAGTAAAATAACAAGTGATACAAACAAATTTCTGGAGATTCAGAATTTGGAAAACTTCATCATGCCTCCAAATTAGACCCAAGGACTTACAGTGTAGTATTTAAGCTGCTTTTTGTCTAAATGCATAATATTTGTGCAGACACCATTTAGGAAATCTTGAGAATGTGAAATGATCACAAGAATTCGCTTGTACCTGTCAAGTAAACAAACCAAAGCTTTTTTAGGTACAATCAAAAACATATCCCAGAATATTTTTTTTTAAATTTTAATTAAAGATTTTAAGAAAATTATTTTGAAAACTTGAACTTACGTTTTAAGTTCTTCTTCCAACCACACACAGGCATCCAAATCCAAGTGATTAGTGGGTTCATCCAGCAATAGGAGGTGAGGCTTAACATACAACGCTCTTGCCAGGCCAATGCGCATACGCCAACCACCTGAAAGAAGACAAAAATTAATAATGTGGGCAACCAGGAGGAAATCAGCACAGCACGCCCAAATTCAACCCCAACTCAGAAAAAAGAAGAAAAACAAAACATAAAACAAACCAGAAAAATCCTTGGTCATCTTGTTTTGCATTTCCCTTGTGAAACCAAGACCATGAAGAAGGTGAGCTGCTCTAGCTTGTGCTGTATCGGCACTCATTTCATCAAGACGCTCATAAATGTCCATAAGTTGCTCCTGCGAATCTGTATGATAATTGATATTATTATTAGTCAATCCACCTCTATCGAACAAATGAAAAGTGAGAAACTGACATACCATCATCTTCATTGGCTACTAGCTGTTCAGCCTGTCTCTCAAGACGGACTCTTTCTTCATCAACTTCCATGACACACTGAAGGGCTGTCTTTTCTGAAGCAGGCATCTCTCTGGAGAGATGGAAAATATCTATATGCTCTGGGATAGGAACTTCACGGTTACCCAGGACAGAAAGAAGAGTGGATTTACCTACAAAAAGACAAGAACAAACTTTTAAGAACCGCCTTTTAAGAGACACTTACAAAAGTTAGGAGAGAGGTTGCTCACCACATCCATTGAGGCCTAAGAGACCATACCGACGTCCACATGACAACTCAAGCAAGGTGTCATGAATGAGCTCACAGCCGTGGAAAGTGATTGAAAAATTGTCTATTTTGACATCCCTACTCTGAGGGTATGTGGCAAGACTTCCTGTGCAAGACCTTGCTTCTGCATTCAATTTAGCATCAGCCTCCAACTTTGCACACAGGGCCTCTGTAATATTAAAAAAGAAAATTATACATAAGAAATTTAATAAATTAACAATTTTTAGAGGAAAATAAGAAGACTATGTACCTTCCACTGTCATTTCCCTAGCTTCTTTGGAGGTTCCATTGACTCCATTGCTGGCCCCATTTTGCTCAGGCTTCTTGGCTGGTGCTGCTCTTGCCTTTGCCTGATCCTTTTTCTTTGCAGCCTGTTTCTTTTTAGAGTCAGAAGGCATGTTGAGACTAAAATTAAGAATAATAAAAAGAATTACACAGGGTTTAAAACAACAACAAAACACGAGATATTGTAAACATAATCAATTGGCAAGTAATACAATATTGGATAAAAATGAAATAATTCTCAAATAGACAGTTTAGGGAAAGTGCAGAAGAATGAAAGATAATTCAACACAAATGTCAAATGATACAGAATTTTAAAGGACAAAATTGATAATTGAATAGAGGAATGAATTTTCTACGCATCTACTGAAGATTCAATTACAATGGTCACAAAATAACCACAAGAAAAAAGTTGAAACAGAGGTTCATAGGCATATTCTTAGAATCAATGGCCAATGTTAGCCAATGTAGGACACCATTGCAAAACTAGGATTCAGCAAATATTTATGTTGCAAGCGTAGGATCATCTTTTACATCTAAACCACTTCTATGTCCAAAATTCGTGCTGTGCTCCCAGAGCGGTCTGTCTTGCTGGGTCTCCTCCAGACATTTTTCACAGGAAACATACACGAAATCAGCAGATTCCTAACCTCTTCAGTCACAATGGGCCGGTTTTAAATACACCCAAAATTTGACATAAGACAGCGAAAACAGGTACAACAAACGGAAAATTTAGTCTGAAGAAAGTGTCCGCGGAGTGAAAGAGCGATTTAGTTGGGTCACCAAGGACCAGGTCTTCACGCTCGATCAAGCATGCTACCCTACTATCCGCGCAACCTGGCTGGCAAAACCGTGCCTGGCAAGGCTAACATGCCAAGCGCAAATAAATAGCCATTCCACCAAGGTTAGAGACAAATGTGCATTTAACATTGAAACTTTGTCACTAAATACTTACGTTGATAAATAAATAAATTCCAATCAAGCCAATTTTCACGTGTCAATCTTATTTTAGCAGCCGTCAAACTTTTGTCCTGCGAAAGATGAACGGAGAGGGAGGGGAAAGGAAGGAGCGGGGAGGGAAAGGGGAGGGGGTGAGGAAGGAGGAGGGGAGGGGGTGGAGCCTAGGAATCCTTTATTTTACTTTTGAAAGGCGCAGAACAAGCCCGCGGTTTTTAAATCAGGCTTTGGGGAGATACTGCTACTGCTGTTGTATGAGAATACTGGTGGTCAGATATTTTCGTGTTCTGCTTTCTGCTGTGGTTTGTGTATTTCTTTCCAAAAGAAAGTCAAGAGGACATATTCACGATGGTGTTTTGGGGTTCATCGCTGTTTTTCAAATTTAATCCCAACAGAATTTACCAACCAGGACCATCAAAGTTCTGGAGGAGACGTCGCATTCTCCGAATGAGTGCGGTGAGTACACATGCAATCTTTAGGTTATGTTTCTATTTTAATTTCCTAAAACTTGAACCGTATCTCATTTTATCTGTGATCCATTGCGTTTTCTTTGCAGCATCATTTCGGAAGAAGGAGGAATTGTTATCGTTTAGCATTAAGATCTGTGCAGAAAGCTTTGGTTTATTCCACCAAGGCCCGTAAGCTGAGGTGCAATGACTTACTCAAGGTATGATATCAAAAATTCTTTTATTTGATAAATGCAATAGGTTATGGAATAATTCGAATTTGTAATATTGCCAACATTTTCTTTGACTCACTTGGTAATATTTCTCTTCTTCATATCTTCTAGCTGAACGGACAACGATTAGCTAGTGCGTCAGAGGAGTTAGGAACAAATATCCGAGTATTGAGGATGGGTCTCCATCACGCAAACGTGTGCCTCGACAATCACATGCTTGCTGATCTTTCAATTTGGGAACCAAGAACATTCCAGGTAAGATTCAATGTTTCAATGTATTGGTTAATGTATTTTTCATGATCGCTCCACCCCTGAGAAATATGAAATCAACCTCCTCATTATTTTCAGGCCCTCAGCAATTTTGCGTGGAATAATTACACCTCCCAAGGACTTGGAGATATTCATGATTTAGGAAGCCCTCCAGAAGGTGTCATTTTGCGTGGGTACAAAAGGCAATGATCTGCTGTTTGTGAAACGTGTAGAGCCTTTGGTCAATCTTCTTAGTTATATTTTTTTTTTCCTGCAAATAATTTTTCTGTTTAAATAAAGATTGTTGGTGTATTTTCTTTGTTTAAAACCGAACCATCCCGCCTGTCAAAGCACACTCCGATTTACCAAACTAAAGCTGGAAAGCCTCAATAATGCACGGCATGGACGGCAACTGCCGCTGATCTCACCGCCGCCTCGCCGTCCCCTCCTGTGGGCGTCCCTAGGCGTCCCCCAGCAAATTGGAGCACGGCGAGCACCATCATAAAACGGAACGCGCATCCAGCTGCAGCACAGAGGCAGAGGACATGAGCTTGACAAGCGACAAAATGTATGAGCCCCTCGCAGTCTCGGCGAACCCGAGAGCGTCATACTCGATCTGAAAAATGAACGGGGAAGGCCTGCCTGCATTCGACAACATTAGTGCGGTCTTACAAAAACAAAACGAGGCGTGCCATGCAGTGCCATGTGATCTCGGGCGAGAGCGAGCACCCCCATGGCTGGAGGCTGCGCCGGGCCGGGCTGCTGTCTCATTCCGAGAGTCGTTTTCGTCGCCCTGTCTCTCTCGCACTCATGGGGCGTCCCCCATGGATGCGAGAGAGACAGGGCGACGAAAACGACTCTCGGAATCAGTCTGCTGGATTGAGACAGGCGCACCCAGGCACCCATTCACAGATGGCGCCCATCGGGCCCGACCCGTCACAACCGTCATCAGTTGCCCGCCATTCTGGCCGCCTCGCCTGCAGGCTGCAGGCTGATTCGGCACAGCTTTATATTAGACCTTAGCGTTCCGTCGCTCTGTCTCTCTCGCACCCCATACGGAACGCCCCGTGAGTGCGAGAGAGACAACAGCGATGTCCGGAACCGCTCCGCCCGCACCCAGCTCAGGTGCAGAGGGAAGGCCCACAGCAGCAGACTGATTCCGAGAGTCGTTTCCGTCGCTCTGTCTCTCTCGCACTCATGGGGCGTCCCGTATAGGAGCGAGAGAGACAGCGCGACGATAGCGACTCTCTAGAGCTGGTCCTTGTCGAACACCACGAAGGGCCGCGTGTAGCGCCTAACGCGAGCAGACTCGACCCGAGCCACCCCCGAGTTGAGCCAGTCACAAAGTGGAACATTCATCTTGACACGAATGAGGCGCTCTTCGGCTTTTTGTATGCGCGGGGCCGCGGGGCTTGGACTCGGCCGCCAGCTGCGCGCTGTGCCGTGCCTTGATGCACCACCACGCACCGCCACGGACTGCTATGCACTGCCACATGCACCGCCATGGAGTGCCGGGCCGGGACGCACCAGACAGGACATTATCTTGTCGCACCTTCTGCTAATTTACAGATGCACTGCCTACATTGCGTGCACATGAGGCGTTTTATGAAGGGCAAAAAGGGTGAGGGGGCGCATCCTCTTCCCCGAACACACTCGCCGTGCACTGCACTGCTCGATCCATAGCCAGCTCCCACTTTGTAAGTACTGTAGTGAAACCTGACCGCAACCCTTTACGTCTCGAAATTCGTCTTCCTCCTCGACGGGACGCCTCGCCGTCGCGGGGGTGGCTTGGCTTGCCGATCGCTCTGCAGAACGTGCCGGCGAGACAAACAGCGGCCTTCTTGTTCCCTGCGATGCACTTTTTGCCGCCTCTCGGTTTGCAGACGCGCGCTACCGAGCATGTGCAAGTCCAAGCCCTCAGAGGCCCCCGTCGGGGCCCTCACATCTGGAAGCACGCCCTCCCCTCCGCGCCCCGACGATCCGCCGCGTTTTTTTGTCGCGCGACGTGCGGGGCGGGGCGGGGCGGGGGCGGGGCTGTGTGCACGGCACTTGTCGCGCGAGGCGACGCGGGGCGGGGTGGGGCGGGGCGGCTGCATCATGTGGTTCTAGAGAGCGAGAGAGAAGGGGACATTACATACTTTCCACTTTTTTCGGATAAATATAAAAGCGTCATATTGAGGCGTGGCGGGGTGAGGCGGGGCGGGGTGGGGTGGTGCGCGTAGGGTTGGGGCTGGCCGTCGAGACACGGCCCGACACGGCGCCTTATTCCTCGTCCGTCCCCCGAGGCGTGCTCGTCGTGCGTGCCCGTCGCGCGTCCGCGCCGTGCCCGTGTAGTGCCGTGCAGTGCCGTGTGGTAGCGTGTTGTGTTGCCTGCTGAGTCGGCCGGGCCATGTGCTGCGACTGCCTGTGCTCCTTCGTGTTCGGCCTGGTGGTCGCGGCCCTTCGCGGCGTGCTGCGCCTCTGCTTGCCCTTCGTGTGACCGCCTCCACGCGCCGCCACCCCCTCGAGACCATGCTGCTGGACACGGGCTACCTGGCCGCCGCGCCACTGCACCGCCGCCCCTGCAGCCCCTGCAGCCCTCCCGGCCTCGCGGACCTGCACGAGAACCCCTTCCAGGCGCTCTACCTGCGCACCGCCATGGACTTGCACCAGGACGACGACGCCGGCGGCCTCCACGCCGCGCCCGGCGCGCTCGACAACATGGACGCCATGGACGCGCAGCTGCTGGAGCTCGACGCGCAGATGGACCACAAGAGCCTGTTCGTGGACGCGTTCCAGTACTTCGGGCAGGAGAGCAGCTACTCCTCGCTGGAGGAGGACGTCAAGCCCGAGCTGGTGCCGGGCGGACTGCCGCACATGATTCCGGGCTCCAGGCGCTTCGCCACCCCCAGCCCGCCCCTGGGCCCGCCCCTGGCCCTGGAGACGGCCGCCGCGAGCGACGCCGTCGGCCAGCCGCAGAGCATCCTGCTGCACACGGGCGCCAACGTGGTGGACATGGTGTCGGGGGTGACGTGCAGCGGCCTGGGGCTGGGCGCGATCGCCCGCCTCCACGACAGGGACGTCGTCAGCGACCTGAACAGGACCTGCAGCTCTGCGGCGGACCAGCGGCCCGCCTTCGGCCAGCACCAGGTAAGGGCGTCGCAGAGTGACTTGGAGGCGTGGACTTGCACCGGGCTGACGACTCACTCGCTCTGCAGGGCAACTTCGGCCACCTCCTGCGGCAGCGCCCCGCGTCGCACGGCGGCGAGGTCTGCGCCCCGCCGTCGTCGCAGAACCTGCAGGTGGTGACGAGGCAGCGGCCGCGCAGCGAGGACCTGCACGGGCTGCGCGTCCTGGAGGGCCAGGACTACGACGACGACGACGACGAGGACGACGACGACGTGTTCCTGGACAGCAGCCACTCGTTCCGGCCGACGCCGCGGCCGCGCCTCAGCAGCAGCAACAGCAACGAGAGCGACGACGACGACCTCAGGTAAGCAGGCCGCAGTTTCGGCGGCGGTTGCCTGGAGTGGGAGTCGAACCTGCAACCTTGTGCTTGTCGGCGTCCAGGGAGGAGGCCGTGACGGAGTGCCGCTGGTCCGAGTGCGGGCTGCAGTTCGCGGGGCGCGCGCCGCTCGTGCGCCACATCGAGAAGGTGCACGTGGAGCCGCGGCGCGGTGAGGACTTCTCCTGCCTGTGGCGGTGCTGCCCGCGCGGCGCCAGGCCCTTCAACGCGCGCTACAAGCTGCTCATCCACATGCGCGTGCACTCCGGCGAGAAGCCCAACAAGTGCCCGGTAAGTGCGGCGTCGCACAGTGGGCCAGAAGACCGATGGAGGCGGCCAAAACTCTAGGCGCGTTTTGAGCGCCAGAGTCGCTAGATGGGACTCGAACCGAACGTGTGACCCCACCAATGGATTCCTTATTCGGAAAGCAATCTATTGGTGGGGTCACACGTTCGGTTGAAGTCCTGTTTAGCGACTCTGGAGCTCAAAACCGCCGCGCTTCAGCACAAGTGCGTCTCAATCTCTAACACGTCCTTATACCCGCGCAGGTCGCCGGCTGCCCCAAGGCGTTCTCCCGCCTGGAGAACCTCAAGATCCACCAGCGCTCGCACACCGGGGAGCGGCCGTACTGCTGCCAGTTCGCGGGCTGCAACAAGGCCTTCAGCAACTCGTCGGACCGCGCCAAGCACCAGCGCACGCACTTCGACACCGTAAGGCCAAGTCCGCTCGCCGCTCTGTCTCTCTCGCACTCATGGGGCGTCCCGTGGAGGTGCGAGAGAGTCAGAGCGACGAAAACGACTCTCGGAATCAGTCTGTTGGAGGGCCTCGTTGTCTGACTCGCCGCGTTCGCCGTTGCTGCGCAGAAACCCTACGCGTGCCAGGTGCCGGGCTGCAGCAAGCGCTACACGGACCCGTCCTCGCTCCGGAAGCACGTCAAGAACCACAGCGGCAAGGACCACGCCCACGCCCAGGCCCGCCGCGCCGGCTCCACGGGCTCCACCAGCTCCACCGCCGACAGCGAGGCGTCCACCAACTCAGGTGGGGGCGGTCACTACCTTTGGTTCGGCACCGTGACGTTTAAACCATCTAAAAACTACAACTCTTTCTTCTCTCCCTTTTTCTAGATTTCTCCCAGTCAACTCAGTCGTCGGTGAGCGAAGAGCGCCCGCACGAGGAGCCCTGTGAGTATGCCTTGCTTGTGGTGTTGTCGTTCTGTCTACTTCGCACTCTTTGGGGCGTCTGTTAGGGGTGCGAGAGAGACAGAGCGACGAGACGCTGTGCGGGCGAAGCCGTGTCTGACTGGACCGTCATGTTTTGCCTGTTCGCACAGTCGGCGACGTCGACCTGGACGACGCGCTGTTCCCGTCCGCGGACGACATCGACCAGGCCATCCGGGAGTTCATCCCCTTCGACGAGGTCGGCAAAATGCTGGCCGAACCTACGGGTGAGTCGATTCAACTTGATTTTTTCCGAAATTCCTTTCCCGTTTCTTGCCTCTTGCAGGAAAAGGGAAGAGGGCGAGGGAGGGGGTTCCGAAAGGAAAATGGACTGGGATTTAAACTTTAAAAAGATCGACGGAGGGGAGGGAGGACGCGTGGCGCGCGGAGGGGACAAAAAATGACAAAAGATGACACTCGACCTGAGCTGGCAATAGTAGGCACTCGTCTGGCAGCGCGCCGACCTCCGCGAAGCTGCGCCGAAGCAGCCGAAGGGCCCCTTCCCTTTCGCTCTCCTGGGTAGAAAACACATGGAAAACGCCTCTGCCGCCCCTTCCCCCTCCCCCGCCCCACAACGCGTGCTCGCTGCATCTGTGCGTCTTTTTAAATAGAAACCTGCATCTGCATGCACCTTCGCCTGGCGGCCTGTCGTTCGCCATGTGCGGGCCAGGAGGTCGAAAGGCCAAAAGTTAAAAGGCAAACACCTGCCGGGCGAAAACGCTCTCGAGAGAGCGACACAACACAATGATGTCCCCTCGTTCTGACGACTTGTGCCTGGAAAATTTGGAGCGTTTCCTGACTTTTTGTTTCGTTTTTCTGTTGCAGGTGTCAGTGGTTTCGATCTTCACGAACCTCTGGAGTTTGATTTCGACCCCAGTTTCTGGAACTGCTCAGCCTAGGTGCTCCTTGACAGCTCGATTTTGATGGAGGTGGTTGTTGATCTCATTTTACACTAGCGATCTCACTTGTTATAGACGTCCTCACTCAGGGACTGCGCATGTACAGTTAGAGTGTTAAGTAAAAATTAAATAATTCAAAGTTTATTCAGAAATTCTATTTTGCTTGACAGTATTTTTAACCAAGACATGGACTAAATCGCGTTTATTTTATTTGTTGTTGTTGTACTCTATAAAGTTTTCAAATATTGTTCGAGGTTGATTGAAGTCTGAAGCCGAGAAGGAGACCTTCCGCTGGTGATAATGCTTTCCTTGATCTCATGGGAGTTGTAGCTTTCACGCATCGACACAGAGTCGTGGTGATAGTGAGTGTTTTTCTTAGTGTTTTTATTTTATATCTTCGTTTTGTACATACTGTAGATCGCGTATCGGTGAAAACATTTCTTTGTTTGATTTTGGCCTCTCCCCATGTGGTGATTTTCTAAAAGACTGTGATATGTCAGGATTCAAATCAATAACAATCTGCAATGGTTTCTGCTCACAAACTGTTTCTTGCTAGACGTGCAACACTCAGAAAAGAGAGAGCAAAACAAAAATTTTATGTCTGTTCAAGCTTATCATTCTTAAAATGCTAATCGAGGGGCTCAAAGGAAGGATAACAACATTGTAACTCACTGCATTTTTTATTATAAATAGATCCAAAATAAATAAATATTTACCTTACCTAATACGTTCGTTACTTTATATACAGAGCATGCTTTGTAAAGCAAGCACACAGCCTAAAATAAAGAACTAATGTTCTTTGACAATACAGTGAAGCTTGTTAGAAAAGCCTCCGAGTCACACATGCCGAGGCGTAACGGCGAAACAAATGGCACGGGTTTCTCGATTCTTGGCAAAATTAAAGGAAGAATAAATCGGATGATCAACACATTATGAGGCTCCGAACAAAACACAAGTAAAGCATGGCATCGTGTCTATAAACAACAACAAAGAACAACAACAATGCTACCAGCGATATAAATTACAAGTACTAATCTTTGTAACGTAAAAACAACAATAAATTAAGATATCACACATCAACCGCTCCCACCTCGTAACTTAACGTCAATAATTAGTTGTCAGAGTTATCACATTTTAAGTTTGGTCAGGCATAACGCGAACGAGCGAGCAGGCCGCCTGGCCGCGTGGCCGAGCCAAAGGCGGGCGGCCTGGAGCCGTCACCGCGGTGCGCGTCATGCACACCGCAATACTTAACCGTTGTCGCTCTCCTGCGTCTAGCTTTCCCTACAGCGCTACAATAAGAGTAAAAATAGTAATATTGCCTAGTGTATTGTACTTTACATCAGGGCGCGCTCCACCCCCGAGGGGAAGGGGGAGGGCGCGCTCCACTCTCGCCTCGCGAGCCGGACGCCGTAACAGTCCGTCCGGAGCCGAAACGTCGGGCTGCACAGTGGGCCAGAAGACCGGTGGACTCGGCCAAAACTCTAGACGCGTTTTGAGCTCCAGAACTGCTAAACGGGACTCGCACCGAGCGTGGGACCGCGACCCCACCAATGGATTCCTCGTTTGGAAAGAAATCCATTGGTGGGGTCACGCGTTCGGTTCGAGTCCTGTTTAGTTACTCTGGGGCTCAAAACGCGTCTGAGAGTTTTGGCCGCGTCCACCGGTCTTCTGGCCCACTGTGCGCTGCACGCGCCTTTTCAAGACGGACATTGGGGCGTTCAGGTTGTGGCGGTCGCGGCCGCGGACGCTTCCAAGTCCTCCTGGCGGGCCTGGCGGCTCACTTGGTGCGCTCGGACGCGCACCGGCCCGGCGGCCGCGGCTCGGGGATGGTGTCCTTGAGCCGCAGGTCGGCGCACAGCGAGAAGTGGTCCGAGGGGTACTGGAAGGACGGCACCCGGCCCGGGCCCAGCATCTCCCCGCTGGGGAAGTCCAGCAGCGCGTCCACCGAGAAGGCCGAGCTGGAGTAGAAGATGTAGTCGATGGTGTGGCACTGCTCGCCCTCCTCGCGCACCTTCCACGTCGTGTAGGCCGGCTCGCCCTGCGCCGACTCGGTCACAGGGTCCTCGGAGGGCGCCGCGTCGTCCTCCTGCAACAAGGGGTCCCGGTTGTTGAAGGCCAGGTGTCGTCCAACGACAGCACCTCAGCGGCTGGCCGGCGGCGGAGCGCCTGCGATGCGAGGGTAGGCAACCCCAGCACACGGCTGTGGAGCGGTCGGCCTACCCTGCATTACCATTACCACTACGGGCTAGACCACAACTGATCGTGCCCGGCTGGCCTCTGTGCTGCTTCTATTGCTGCGGCGCACAGTGGGCCAGAAGACCGGCGCAGACGGCTAAAAATCTACAGACGTTTTGAGGTCCAGAGTCCCTCGAGAGGACTGCAACCGAACAGGGCTGGGACAGATACTTTATATTTTTACCTAGGTACAGATACAGATACTGGATCAAAAAAGTACCTAGGTACAGTTACAGGTACTTGATCGAGCTCAGTACCTAGGTACAGTTACAGGTACTTTGGCAAAATACCTAGGTACTTTTCAGGTACTTTCAGATATTTTGATATTTCAACACATCCGCCCAGTAACGCAACCAAAACAAACCTCGCGCGACTTTTTCGTCCCTTTAAACTTTCTTGCGTCAATGACCCTTTTCATGCCAACGTGTGTGCTGTTTACAACCCCGATTCGTCACGCCGCATCGTCGGCGGCTCCAGGGACCATCCTTGACCTCGCTCCTATAATGGGATGGTTCCGGTAACGCATTTTAGGGACAAACCCTATGATCCCTGCTGAGATGTGTCCATTGTTTCATAGTGCAAGTCCTCTGCGTTCACCTTGGCAGTGCGTGCGGTGACCAGACCTGCCACATGGAGCCCGGAGGAGGCACATAAAAAGGGGAGGGGGCCGAATATCTGTTTCTTCCCCGAAAACAGGCAGTCCTCTGAGTGTCTCTCTTTATCCCCGCACTGTTGTGAGCGCATCTCATTACCCGCCTTTCCCTACATTCGCGCCCAAAAGTACCTGTAAAAGTACCTGCAGTTCTAGGTAAAGTTACTGCCCAAAATGTACCTAGGTACAGGTACAGTTACAATTGTGACCTGAGTACCTAGGTACAGTTATAGGTACCAAAAAAGTACCTAGGTACAGTACCTAGGTACTTTTTACCTAGGTATTTCCCAGCCCTGCAACCGAACGTGTGACCCCACCAATGGATTCCTCGTTCAGAGAGCAATCCATTGGTGGGGTCATACGTTCGGTTTGAGTCCCGTTGAGTGACTCTGGTCTGGAGGACAAAACGTGTCTAGAGTTTTGGCGGCCTGCGCCGGTCTTCTGGCCCACTGTGCGGTGCGTGGACCGCGGACGCTACTCACCCGGTGGCTGGCCTTGGAGTAGGCGCTGGCGAGGCGCATGCCGGTGTGCTCCAGCACGGTGCGGTACACGGGCTCGCTGGGCTCGGCGTTGAAGTCGCCGGACAGCACGACGGGGCGGCCGTCGGCGTGCGCGGCCACGATGCGCAGCAGCTCGCGGCCCTGCTCGTTGCGCATCTTGGACATGAGGGCGCCGGCGCGCGCCTTGAGGTGCGTCGTCGCCACGCACAGCTCGCGGCCCGACGCCTCGTGGCGCAGCACGGCCAGCAGCACCACCTGCAGGACGAGCACGGACAGTCATTCGACCAATGTGACGTCATAGTCCTCGAAAGGTGACGTCATATTCAAACGAACGTGGCAAAATCCACCTTCTAAAGAAGTTGACGTCACGTTCGTTGAGCAACATTGCACGGTCGCCGCCAACACACAGAGGGCCAGAAGACCGGAGGAGGAGGCCAAAATCCTCGACGCGTTTTGAGCTGCCGAGTTGCTAAATGGGACTCGAACCTAACGTGTGACCCCACCAATAGATTGCTCTCCAAACGAGGAATCCGTTGGTGGGGTCACACGTTCGGTTCGAGTCCTTGTAGCGACTCTGGAGCTCAAAACGCGTTCGGACCTTTGACCGCGTCCACCAGTCTTCTGGCGCACTGTGCAACACGTGCAGCTCGCCGTCGTCGCGTACCTGGTTGCTGGCGATGCGCCACACGTGCAGGCGGTCGCGGTGCTGGCCCAGCAGGGAGAAGCGGTCGCTCCTCCAGAGCAGCGCGCAGCCGTCCGGGCCGTTGTTGTCCGGGATGTAGCAGCACGGCGAGTCCGGCTTGGGCTCGAACAGGCCGCGGTAGCCCAGCGGCGACAGCGCGCGCTCCAGGAACTTGTAGTGGTCCACCTCCTGCAGGCAGATGATGTCGGGCGCGGCCGCCACCAGTTCCTGCAGCATCAGCGGCCGGCGGACGGCCCAGTCCAGCGCCGCCTCGGGGCACGACACGAAGTTGTCGTTGTTGACGCCCAGCGCTGCGGGGAGAAGGGACTTGGTCAACTTTGAAGAGCGAAAGGAAGCCCGCGGAAAAAGTTCGTTCGGACGCGTACCTTGAGAGAGAACGTTCCACTGCATCACTCGTATTGTACTCGAATCTTCTGAAAGAAGACAACAGAAAGGTCCATTTCAGCACGCTGCTGGTAAGAGCAAACTAAAAATACGCGTTGGAGAGTCGGGACTCACCGGCACCCCAGTGGGGGCTGGGCCGGCCGGGCGGGCCCTCGACGGGCACCATCCTTCTGGACAGCAGCTTGGCGGGGGTGTTGGTGGCGCGCAGCTGCTGCTCGCACCAGCGGCAGACGCCCTCGCGCGCCGCGAGGTCCACGTGCACGTCGTCATCCTGGCAGTCTTTGTTCACCACCCGCGGCGCCGACGAGAAGCTGCCCATCCTGCAAACACAGAGCGGCGCGTCAGTCCGAGTCCGCCGCGCTCCTCGGCGTCGACAAGCAGGTCGTGCTCGACGACGGGTGGTTTCCTGGTTCCGGCGACCGGGACGGGGGCGAGTGGAGGCGGCGGCGCGGAGACAGACCTTTTGATAAACTGGATGCAGCGTCTGGCGAGGCCACGAAGCGACCGACTCATTGCCCCGGGGGCTGTGCTAGCGGTGCTAGGTCAGTCCAGTCCGGGCCTCTCCAAGGCTTGCCCCAGGTTTGCCCCAGGCCTGCCCTAGGACGGTCCTCGGCCCTTCAAAGGGCTGTCCCACAGGCCTTCCCTAGACTATCCTAGGCGCCCTGCGCTGCCCTGCGCTGCACTGCAGCCTCGCCACTGCAGCAGCTGCAACACAACAGGCCAACGGGTGACGCGGGGCCACGGACGGCCACGGGCCAGCGCCCCGACTAGTGGAAGTGACTTTCAAGGAAGTGACACGAGTCCTTTCACGCGTGTGAGAGTGTATGTGTGTGCAACTGGATCCGCAAAGCCACGACTTTTCAAAAAAAGAAAATGCTGCCTCCAACGGGCCATGAAACCAACCTCAGAACCTATACCAAATGTAGCAGAATATTTTACTACCTTAAAAAAACGGTCGCGTCAGAAAGGATCGGTGCGAGGCACGCTGAAGGTATTAACTCGCCGCTCTCGACTGCTTATCCCCAGATTCTATGCGCCGGTGGCGTTGACATTAAAAGTCCCCCTCCTTCCCAAACACGCCTTTTTTTCTCGTTATGTTTTTTTCATGAGCGCATCTGATGGATAAAGGACTATTCTACTCAACTCTCTCCTCATCGCCGTCATCCGAGCCACACGTGTTGCACGGTGCTCACACTCACACACTCACACACACGCGTACGCACGCTTGCACGCGTACTCACACACACGCACGCACGCGCACCCTCCCCACCCGCTGCATACGCTCACATACACGCACGCACACAGCGCGACGTATGTGTGAGTGCTTTCCATGACAACGGGTCTAGAAATACCGATGCTGACAAGGAAGGCCCTTCGCCCAACGCCTGCGTGATGCCGCGCTGGCCCGCTGGCAGCGTGCCAACTCCGCGTGGCGTGGCGTGCCACATGCGTGCCGCGCACGGCCGCGCTGTCCACGGGTCGCCAATTCATTCAGCTCCGGCTCTTTCCCCGCCGTTCTCCCTCAAGCTCCGACGGGCTGCTCGGTGACGCGTCTGCCACACCGCGTGGAACGCAACACCACCAGCAGCCTGATTCCGAGAGCCGTTTTCGTCGCTCTGTGTCTCTCGCGCACTCACGGGGCGTTCCCTGTAGGTGCGAGAGAGACAGAGCGACGAAAACGACTCTCGGAATCAGGCTACTGGTGGCAACCGCCGGACCAAACCGCAGCGGTGTCGACGCAGAGCGCCATGCGAAAGCCCAATCAGCCACGAGACGAGGGGAAAGCCAAATCAGCACGAAACTAGTAAGAAATACTCTAGGCACTCGCATCCTTGTAAACGGACTGTCCTTTCCGAACTGAGACAAACTAGATCCACACTCATGAAGAGCGCTCGAAACACACGCACATCCGTACGCAGTACGCACCGCGGCGTTGGGCAGTGGATTCGCTTCTGGTGACGACAAGAGCAACACACGAGGGGCGAGGGCGCCGTCGGGGAGGTTCCCGCGGTTCCCATTTTCCCTCCGTTCACGCGACTTCCAAACACGACGCCACACTGCGAGTCGCGCTGCGTCGCGGCGTGCACGGCCGGCCTGCTTACTTGGCACAGTGTGGGCGCCCTGCCTTCCACCACCTTGCACCGCGCAGCACCGCGTTGACGCTAGTCTTCGGAGTCTGAGCGGCCACCTCACCGCTCCGTCCCTGCCCGCCCGCCTGCCCGCCGCGCGCCGCGCTCCCCCACGAACCCCCTGGGCCTGACCCCGTCCCGCCCCGGCCCCCTCCAAAGGTAAACAGGTTGCCATAGCGACCCCGCTGCGCCCTGCGCCCCTCGGCCCTCCAGGTAAGCAGCCCTCTCGCATGTCAATATCGTCGTGCACACGACGGGGACGTCAAAAAATGTTGCCCTGCTCATCCGGCAGGGCAGGCCTAGCCTGTCAAGTTCAAGTCGCCAGAAGGTTCCCAAGCGGCCAGCAGACTGAGTCCAAGAGTCGTTTTCGTCGCTCTGTCTCTCTCGCACTCATGGGGCATTCCGAATGGGTGCGAGCGAGACACTGCAGCGAAGACGACTCTCGGAATCAGTCTGCACGTGCGCTGGCAATTTCCCCCCCCCCCTCCGAGATGATCCACAAGTTGGAGACCGCAAGGCAGCGTTGCGAGTCGATTTCGTTGGAGCTGATAGCGGGGCCGCTTATTCGCGGAGCCGAGCCCCCCGTGCCAGGACGCTAGGACACTCTGTGCGTCTGGCGGAATGGTGCGGGCCTACGCATGTGCCGTCGCCGCGTCGCCGCCTCGCCGCGTCGCCTGTCTAGACGACGGCGGCGCAGATCGCCATCTCCAGCCTCGGCCTGCCACGAGCAGCCACGGGCCGCGCGGAAAGGACGCGAAAGGCGCGTCGCGACGTCGCTTTGTGGCGCCGTCTCTCTCGCACGCCGACGGGACGCCCCGCGACGCGCCGCGACGCCCCGCGACGCCCCGCGAGAGCGACGGAGACAGAGCGACTCATGGAATCAGCCAGCTGACCCCTTGGCGCCTTTCGCGCTTTCGCGTCCCCGTGCGACGCGGCGGCGCGCCGCGGTCGTCGCGGACAATCTGACGAGGGGCGCGTCCGCGTGCCGTCTCCGTCACTCCCGTACTACTGGCATTCTGCTACTAGCGAGTGCGAGAGAGACGGCGCTATGGGGCGGCCGCGACACTGATAAGAGGGCGACGACGTGCTGGCGGCGCGGCAGCCAATCAGTGTCGCCTCACTTTCGGCCCTCCTGTCTTGTAGGGATGGAATGCGATGGAGTGGAACACATGACAACGCAGAAGAATTTGGCCAGTGCAACTCTCACGTTCTACCAAATTTCTACCATGATTTCACCAAAATGCAGCATGGACTAGAGAGGTATTTAACGCAAGGGGCCGCCGGGCTGATGAATTAAGAAAAACAAACAGAGCCCCAAGCGAAGACCTGTGCGATTCTATAAGGTCATTTGGCGACGTCAGGTCAGCGAGTGAGTTCGTCGGGGTTTGGGCGATTTGGGGTATCGGCCGAGAAAACAGGCACTGGCGACTGTACTCGGTGACCCGATCCGAAGGGTCATCGGCGCAGGCCGAGTCTGGCCGGGCCGGATTAAGGCGCAGGCCGCAGCGCAGGGCCGTTGAACCAAAGCCAGCTTCGCGATGATCACCCAGTCCTGACTGTGTTCAAACGCAGGGCCGTTGAACTACAGCCAGCTTCGCGATGATCGCCCAGTCCTGCGTGTGACTGTGTTCAAACGCAGGGCCGTTGAACTACAGCCAGCTTCGCGATGATCGCCCAGTCCTGCGTGTGACTGTGTTCAAACGCAGGGCCGTTGAACCAAAGCCAGCTTCGCGATGATCACCCAGTCCTGACTGTGTTCAAACGCAGGGCCGTTGAACTACAGCCAGCTTCGCGATGATCGCCCAGCCCTGCGTGTGACTGTGTTCAAACGCAGGGCCGTTGAACTACAGCCAGCCCCGCGATGATCGCCCAGTCCTGCGTGTGACTGTGTTCAAACGCAGGGCCGTTGAACCAAAGCCAGCTTCGCGATGATCACCCAGTCCTGACTGTGTTCAAACGCAGGGCCGTTGAACTACAGCCAGCCCCGCGATGATCGCCCAGTCCTGTGTGTGACTGTGTTCAAACGCAGGGCCGTTGAACTACAGCCAGCCCCGCGATGATCACACAGTCCTGACTGTGTTCAAACGCAGGGCCGTTGAACTACAGCCAGCCCCGCGATGATCGCCCAGTCCTGCGTGTGACTGTGTTCAGACGCAGGCAGGCACGTTGCAGAGCTGCCCACTCGCGGTTCATCTCGGTGTCGCCGTTCCGCCGTGTTTTGTTTGGGTCCGTTGCCGTCTTCCCTTGTCTGCATTTACGAAGCAGATGATCACAGACGCGCAGGCTGCGCAGGCGAGCCGAGTCGAGACGTTTCCCGAGCGGCCGTCCGCGCGTCCACCGCGAATTGCAATGTGGCTGTAAATGGCTCCGCAACGCTCCGCAACCGGTTTCAAATAAAAATAGACGACGAGGAAACAGTGCCAATTACCGGCCCGGGCTGACAGCAGCGGTCTCATTCCGAGAGTCGTCGCTCTGTCTCTCTCGCACTCATGGGGCGTCCCGTACAGGTGCGAGAGAGACAGAGCGACGAAAACGACTTTCAGTCTGCAGCACAGCAGCGCACATCGAGCCATTCCGCAGTGTTTTGTCTCCCTCGCTCCCGCGCGGCCCGCCGCACGCCCCGCGAGTGCGAGAGAGACGGGGGGAGCCGCTGTTCGGACGGTGCAGGTCTGCTGATACAGCCTGCACGTCAATAGATCGCTCTGCTTGGCGTCCGCGGCGGCGTCCGCGCGGAGGCGGCACGCCTTGCGGGCCTTGCGGCACGCGATGTTGTTTCGAATGAAATAGAAAGAAAACATGGCGACGTCACGCCGGCGATGACGATTAGCAGTGTAGGGAGGCGTCGTCGGCGTCCTGGCGCGCGTCGAACAACGCGGCGGCGGCTCCGGGGGACGGTCTCGGGGACCGGGCCACCCGGGGCCACCTTGCCGTCGCGGCCGCCACCGGCACCGAGACCTTGGCGACCGGCCGGCTGGCCGTGCATGGCGACGGCCAGCCACTGCAGTGGCCGCGGAGTGGACGGCATTGCAGATAGCGCCGCTGCCGCCACGCTGCCGCGCTGTGTCAGTCTGTCAAGTTCAAAGTCGCCATGAGCGGCGCGACGCGGATCGCAGCGCGCAGCACAGCGCAGCGCAGCGCGGCCATTGACGGGCTGGCTTCCTTTTCCTTTCGAGTTGGCAGCAGACTCATTC